TTGCTTTCATGTAAACTCTTCCAAATGCAGTATTTAGCTGCCCCAAAAACTTCAGTCCTACATCGCATCAGAGGCCTCCGTTGCCCTTCTGTGTTTATTTATTAACAGTGCAACCTTTATGCTACTGCAGGTGACTATATATTAAAAGATGTTCTCCCTGTATTAATGAGAGGACAAACGACACAGTAGGGATACAGGGATTGGAAGAAGGAAGCACAAACTGCCTTCGAAGTATAACTCCTGTTTCTAATAGGCTTGGACAAGATACAGTTCAAAAAAGTGCACAACCCCAACTAGAGGCTGTGTCAGTGCTCCTGCATACAAGTTCAGTTAAAGGCCAACTCCATGTTTAAGATGCAACAGGTTGCTAAGCAATCCCTCCCACCTCCAAAGTGCTCTGTGAATGAATTACAAGTCCCATCTGCCACAGCCGCAGACCATAGCAATGGAATTCGAGTGCAGTGACCACTGCACTTCAAGTCTATTGACACTTCCTCCAGCTATCTAACTGAAAGCCTGTACTGAGGTTCAGACATAGAGCTGGAGGAAGGGTTTGGGGTTGCAATGCTTTACATTCTCCTGTGAAAAATAATAAATACACAATTTTTTTGTGCTGCAAATATATTTATATATACCTAGTCTTTAAGCTAAGTGTCCCAAGGAGCTAGGACATCTGCTTGCTGGATTTATAGTTTCTGGAGATTCTTCTGTCAGCTGCTTTTGTTGTCAGATCTGATCACCAAATCCTGCATATTTACTCCAATCGCCAACATATAGTAAAATGACGGACGCAAGGCGGTTCTCTCGTTCTCGCTCTGGGAGCGCGCAGTGCGGCGATCGGCGGTGCACTGTGTCTCTAGGACACAGCGGATCAACGGAAAGAGCCGAAGCTGTCAGCTCGTGCATGTGATCAGCTGTGTCCAATCATAGCTGATCCCATGTAAACAGTGAAATGCCGGTTATCGGCTTTTCTCTCCTCACAAGCTGTCACGCTGACAGCTCATGAGGAGAGGAGAGCTGGTAATCGGCATTCCTTGGAGGGGACATGTACACAGATCATCAATGCCAGTCAGTGCCGCCTATCAGTGTGCATCAGTGCCGCCTATCAGTGTCCATCAGTGCCACCTATCAGTGTCCATCAGTGCCCATCACTACAGCCTCATTAGTGCACATCATTGAAGGAGAAAAATCACTTAATTTACAAAATTTTATAACAAAAACTAAGAAAAAACTTTTTTTTTCCAAAATTTTCAGTGGTTGTTTAATAAAAAACCCAGAGGTGATTAAATACCACCAAAATAAAGCTCTGTCGCAAAAAAAAAAGATACAGTTTTCATATGGGTACAGTGTTGCATGACTGCGCAATTGTCATTCAAAATGTGACAGTGCTGAAAGCTGGAAATTGGCCTGGGCAAGAAGGGGGTATAAGTGCCCTGTAGGCTAGTGGTTAAAGACCACCAAATTCAGTTTTGTCACTGATGGCTCAATCATTCCAAGGACTCATCCATTACGGACTCATCCATTACCCTCCAAATTCGTGAATCTCTGACCAATTATTTTAACCACAAGCCTACAGGGCACTTATACCCCCTTCCTGCCCAGGCCAATTTCCAGCTTTCAGCGCTGTCGCACTATGAATGACAATTGCGTGGTCATACAACACTGTACCTATATGAAATTTTTATCATTTTTTTGTGACAGAGCTTTATTTTGGTGTTATTTAATCACCTCTGGGTTTTTTATTTTTTCTTAAACCAAAAACCACTGAAAATTTTGGAAAAAAAACCTTTTACTTAGTTTTTGTTATAAAATTTTTTAAATAAGTGATTTTTCTCCTTCACTGATGTGCGCTAATGAGGCTGCAGTGGTGGGCACTGATTGGCACTGAAAGGCAGCACTGATACATGGCACTAATAGGCAGCACTGACTGGCACTGATGGGTGACACTGAAAGGCAGCTCAGATGGGCACTGATATGTGGCATTGATGTGCACCGGTAGGCACTGACAGGTGGCACTGCTGGGGCTACACTGATCATCAGGGCACACTGATCATCAGTGCTCGGATGACCAATATACATGTCCCCTCGCGGAAAGCCGATTACCGGCTCTCCTCTCCTCTCGAGCTGTCAGCGTGACAGCTCGAGAGGAGAGAAATGCCGATAACCGGCATTTTTCCCTGTTTACATGTGATCAGCTGTGATTGGACACAGCTGATCACATGACCAAGCCGACATCTTCGGCTCTTTCCGTGATCCGCTGTGCTGTGCGCTCTCTGAGCCGTGCATGCGCGGTGAGAATGGGAGGACGAGAACAAGAGAACCACCTTGCGCCCGTCATTGGGCTATATGGCGGGCGGGAGGTGGTTAAGGAAAATACGTCCCTGGAAACGACACCTCTCATTCAAATCGCAAGCACACAAATGTGCGATACGTGGGCTCCTTCTTTCAATCACTGCTTCTCGAAAACGCATAGCTCAGGCATCTTTTACTTCTATACTTCATAAAGTACGTAAACTTGAATGCTCACATAAATGCTCCAAGGCTGTAAACTCTGCGACCGAAATTGATCAGGCACGCAAACAACTTTGAGACGTTGTGGAAAAGGAAACCAAGCGTAATTTTACTTTATCTCAGAAAAACTCTTTTATGAACATGGAAATAAGAGCGGCAAATCTTTAGCCAGGGCCCTGCAATCTAAAAAACAGCAAAACATAGCATTTAATCTCTGGTACAAGTGTGACTAATTTCACACACTCCCGAAATGGGCACAGAAATCATAACGCACACATCATCATGTGCTATTCTTTCCCAGCACTTCACATTCCCTCAACATAAGGGCTTATAAGTAGATAGGTCAGTAATTAATATACCTATAACGATGTATCTATTACACTCTTTGTATCTGCTGGTTTTCTATACACCTTTGATATAAAGATATACCTCATCTCGATTTGTACTACAATTCAAACCCATAGCCCGTCTGCGAAACGGGATGCTGCATATTGTGTCTATGTTCGGACTGTAATACATATTTGTATGTACATTGATCTGCCTTAACTTTTCTAATAAAATTATTTTTGGAACAAAGAAAAAAAAAATCATTCCAAGTGGCTCTCAATTAGTGACTTTAGTAAAAGCTGTATTGTGGATCTCACATATTCAGTGAGCACATTGATCAATCACTGGAACCCTCAGGTGTGATTGCGGGTAGCATTTCAGGCTTGCATTCATTACCGGTGCTTGACAGCTTTGTATCCCAATCATCCAATGTGATGAACCAGGACATTAAACTTGCAGGAAGCGACACCCTTCATCTCCCGTGGAAGCCACTGGCATAGGACCTAGAAGATTGGAGCCACACTGTAGTAGTGCTGATTGCTTCAGTGATTGCCTGCTTCCCTGGCAGCTTCTCATGTACAAGATATGCATACCTACATTGGTCCAAGCTGGACCAATGCAAGTATGCAATTATCATACCTGGAGTTTGGCTTTAAAGTAGTAATAAACTCTCAGCAGTCCTTAACACATTTAGCAAAATAAAACAAACATTCACCAGTAAACTATGTTAAAATTCTTACCCCAGCACTTGCAGTTTTCAACTTTTATTGCTGCTGGATCTTGCTTTCTCAATGCTGCTTTCCTGAACTTCTGGTGTTGACAGAGTTAACAGTGGACAATGCAGTCTCCAGTCAGTCTGTTAGCATGGATGGAGGAGCAGGGGAGGACCTTTCCATCCTAGGCTATTGGGCTGTGTATTTTTATTGATGCACACAGTGTTGGTAAACACAACTCTAGTCCCTGCATGAAAGGGTAACTCCATAGAATGCTGCAGGAAACCTGGGACAGCAGTCAGGGTGCCAGCTTAAACTGGAACATAGGCAAGGATTAGAAGATTATGAGGTTGCATACTCAGTAAATGATTGTACTGCTTTGTCCACAATATGCTTTATTTATTACAATCTCTTAATCCCATGTTGATAATATACATCGCAAACAATAACTGCACAAAAGGCAGTGGAGAAGCCTGTAGTTTTATGGTAAAAGACGATTACAGATTTGTTGCTGCACCATTTTAATTTTTTTGTTTAATTAAATAAAGCCATATAAAACTGTTACTACTAAACATGGTATAATCACATAAAAAAAAACCCATTTTACTAAAGAAAAAAAAAATGTATGTATATTCATAAATGTGTTTGTAAATACACCTGACAATATTTTGATCTAATATGGTACAGTTATTTCTACATCTTATGCGTCTTTCTTCACTTCCCATACACGTTATGAAACGGTACACATCTTGCAGTATCGACGACGGTCAGTACATTATTCTGCAATACTCATCGTGTAGCTTATATTTAAAGTGAACATAGTGAAAAATGCCACTGCTGACTTGTTTTAGGCTTTGTATATATGTCCTTCAGTATGAGCAAATCCTTCAGAAAGCATGGAGATGTTAAACATAGATCTTAATGGTAGCACTGACTGTCACTTTGAACAAGCTGAAGCCTGCTGAAAGGCTGCTAGCAGCTAATTTAAAGTTACAGTCAACACTACACTTGAGGCGTATCAGACACCGCCCACAGTGGAGGCAAAGGGAAATATAGAGGCATTCAACAAACAACAGCATGTGCTTTTAGAATTTGTTAGCAGTCAAATGGATGTATTGATGCTATGTGTTGTTATAAAATTATTTTTGTCCTTTAAAAACAGGTCAGCAATGGCAGCTACACATACTTGCTTTCTTTTTGCCCATCACTACTTTGTTTAATCATCGGGCATGAAGAACGGAAGCCCTAGTTAAGTTTCAAATCATGCTTTTTCTTATGTTCTTGGCAGTCAAAGTAACAAGGATGCAAAGTAAAGTTTCGTATGTACTGCTGGTGGGGATAACCTGTTGCTTGACCCTGCAGGAGCAAAGCTGCAGGTTTACCACCAATCCTCAAAGCAACCGCTCTCTTCTTAGAAGGTACAATAGGTCAATCTCATGTCCAATAATATTAACTGAACAAGATTTTTTTATACTTGGAATCTGGAATTTGCCCCCTGGACTTCAATCTTCTGAGTGCTTCTCTCATGTGTCGAGGCTGCAGTGGAGGGTTTTCTCCCCATTTTTCACAAACATCCAGAGCTGAGAAAACAAAATAAATATAAGATGAGGATGTCATAGGAAGATATGGCTTATAATTGAAGACATAATATACCAAGAATTGGGCACCCCCATCTCGGAGCTTCTAGCGGATACCCAAGAGAAGAACTGACTGGTAAATTAGGTGCTACAGTCAAAGAATTTTGTGTGACCAGTCAGCTGACAGGTTCGCTGACTGGCAAAGAGGTCATATTCGAACCACTATGGCTAGTGTCTCAAACTGGAAAAGGGAACTGCAAAGAAAGAAGTATTTGAGGGAGGGGGGATGTGGAGGGGAGCAGGGGGAGTGGGTACTCCATCATGGCTAACTGGATGCTGTGGAAAAGTGATGGTTTGATCAATGATTGGTCTGAATTTCCCTCTCCCAAAATAGTGTGTAGGAGGGGAGGTCTGGTATGGGGGCAACTATAAGAATAGAATATAGTTGGGCGATAGTATAGGTGGGTCTTTCTGTAGAAGGTGAGATTCGAAGGTAGTGGGGTCAGGAGTGATACTGGTGAGTTTGTTAATGGATCGGAGGTAGTATAGAATCTGCTGCCTTTGTAGCCATTGTATAGGAAAGCGTGATGAGGTGTTGGAAGAGGTATCTATGGTCAATGGTTTGGATTGTAGAACCAGGGAGTGTTGTCGATGGTCTTGTATACTGAAGCTTTCTTGTGTGCTAACCAAACGTTTCGGGGAGCACTGAACCTGGTACAAAGTGCAGGGCAAACACAAAAATTACAGTCAGTAGAATGTGTCCTTCCTGCTTATTCCTCTTATGTTAGTGAAAATCTTCCTCCACCATAATCTGTACTACACTACAGCTTCAATGAATGGAAAGCAATGAATGTAAGACATGCGGATGATTAATAGGTTTGTCCCCACCAATTATAGATCTCGTTTCATTCAAAAAGCTGTAGTACGGCTTTTACTCAGAATAGCGGATCGAGGCTCTTTTGATAAAAGCCTACGACTGACCGTTAGTTCTATTAACCCCTACAGAAAAGGAATCAGCACAAGGGACACATCCTACTGACTTGTAAGTTACGTGCCTTTTACTGATTTTTCTCTTTGTGATTTTGGCTGCTCTTAGGTTTTAGAAATTCTCGTTTTCACAGAGAATTTACAATACAATTCTGAAGGGCTGTTTCAACACCATGAAGCATAACCCAACACGTGCCCCTAACGAAGCAGTAAAAAATTAACTGGCAATTAAGAGTTAGCATATCATACATCCCACATAATGTATGGAACATATCTTCAAGTAAATTCTGTGAATCACATTCCTGATTTTAATGCAAAGTGAAGTAGGAGACACATACATATAAAGGGTTTTTGAGGCTGCTGCAAAGATATACAGTCACCTTCTATGAGGGGAACTAGCTACCACTCAGAAAATCTAGTTCTCTTGGAAGTCCTCAGAGTTTGATATATCGGCACAGCAGCAATACTCAAGTTTTTAAAAAGCAAGTTCTAAAAATACCTTCTTCTACAACCTCTCCAACAAAAACCTTTGAAATACCAGACATGGCAATCACCACATTCTGTGACACAGAGCAGCCTGTAATGGACTGAATCAGCTGAAAATAAGAACAAAGAGAAACAAAATGAAACAATTCAAGATATTTCCAGAGACTAATCTTCAATAAAAAAAAGAAAATAAATTACAGAACAGCACAGGGGTCTATTTATATATTTTTCACCCAGGATTCAAATTTTCTTCCAAATGAATCCAATTAGAAAAATGTTCAAAAGTTGTGTAAATCTCATGTGAAAAACATGCATAAATAGACTCAATCTGTTTTTTTTTTTTTTTTTAAAACTTAATAAACTTTTCTCATGTTATCACATTTTACAGTAAGTAATGATAAATAGTACAGTACTGACCTCAAAAGGAAACTACATGAAATTAATTGCTTGGCATGTTTGTGTGAATAACCTGGAGCTTAGGGAACCAATGTCCAGATGAAGCTAATCAATAGCTCTAGGATGTTTGGCCCTTCAGCAGAAACCAAATAAATGCAGATGCATTCATTTTGCAACTAAGCACTGGAGGGATGCTAAAATAAGTATTTTACATACAAAAGAACACTTTCTGCGATTAATGTTAAAATCACAACTGCAGGCTCCTATCAAGCAGTATTTTATGTTTTATACTTACCTATTACAGATGCCTTTAAACAGATCACATAATACCCCAGGGTCCAGATTTCCCCGATGAAGCCATGTGACTTAGTGGTGTAACGTATAGGGAGGATCTTGACGACATAACGCTCGAGGTATAGTGAGATGTGGTAATTATCAGCTGGTTGTATACTGATCAGTGTATGTGCATCATTGGATTATACTTGATGTGCGATATAGTGTAGTGTGCGAAGACACCTTGCAAATGTGAGTTCATTTATTGGAAATGATTTATATAAATACATTTTAAAAGGCTAAGCACTACGTTGGTGATATTTTGCTTATGTATGTATGGCTGAGGAGGATCGATAGGAAAAGGAGAGGTGGAAACATAAGGAGTGCGGTTTCATCTGACCCAACTGGGAACACATCACTCCTATATTAAGGACATAGGCACTATATGACCTCACTTAACGGTTTGGTCATGTATTCACGGTGAGAGCACATCTGGTGAAGGGTGGTGTGTCACCATGCTGGAAATATTATTTTGGCACAAAATGGTGGCGGAAGAAGTTCCTATATTTGTGAAGTTGACTCATAACTGAAGAAGTTCTTTAAGTAGGAGTATCCTTTAGAATTATTTATTCACAATTATGTGCGTGAACATTACATTTATGATGTTGATGATTATTTAATGCACTAGTGTTATATGTAGAATTTTGGCGCATAGCAATTATTAATTGCAGCGCGGCACTTTGATGGTTGTATTAATAACGCATTTATATTAGAGTGTGATTAGTGTGGGAAATTCACATTATTGTATAGATTTATATATTGATAGCAGCTCACAAGATTCACTTGGTTTTTGAATTTGCCAGTTGCCTTGCCACCCCTCTAGCTTAAATGCATTAAAGCAGGAAATAGAAATAATGCAAAGGCTTTGTGACTTTATGCAGACTTTTCTAGTTTTTAAAGTGACCCTGTGGTCACTTTAAAAATTATTACTGAATGTTTACAAAGATGGTACAAGTAACTTTAAATAAGGGTTCAAGCAAATTGAACATCGTACCCGTTTAATAGCGGCTTTAGGGAATGCAGAGCGTCTATACATCTCATAGCGATTTAGTTGTTCTTCTGAGAAGGATGACACCAGAATTCTACATAAAAAACAATGGGTGACATATTTAGGTATGACTGTAATAAAAAATCTCAGGAGTATCAGTTCCAATGTATTCACAGTTACTTACTGCATCTTCTGTATCTCATCCTCATCCACTTTCTGCTTCTTTTCTTTTTTCTCCTTTACTTCCATTTTCATTTTCTTAGAATTGAGTAACATATCTGGTGTCTCTCCAACTGCTGCCGTCACAGGGATTTCCTCTGTTTTCACCTTGAAGATAGAGTTTTGAGTAATAATAGTAATGCAGAGGTTTACTACATACAAACATATAAAACATGAATAATCACAAATAGAAGGTTTTCTTTCACCCCTGCCCAGAATTTTTATTATAAGTGTATAAAGACTTCATGAGGGAAGTAGGATACATCTCAAGATTCATACATGGTAATCAGGTATGAATGGCTAAAGCTGGACCTATTCGGCTCAAGTATTGGCAAATTCCTGTATAATTGCCTAAACTTTGAGCCATGGGTGGCCCTGCAAGCACCACTTAGCTTGACAAAAGTCGAGTAAACGTCGAGCTTGGTAGAAAATGATTACCAGAACAATGCAAAATCCTATCAACTGCAGTTACTGTTGAGGTGTTCATACAGCTGCTGAATACAATAGCAGGCAGTGGAGATTTCTTCATCCATAGTTTTTAGTGTGAATGGGGGACTCAAGTGATTTTTCTCTCATGGAATCTGTGGACTGAACAAAAGAAATCTGGCTGTGTATGGCTATTTGAAAAAGCAGTATTGTGGTACTAAATACAGTCAGGTCCATAAATATTGGGACATCGACACAATTCTAACATTTTTGGCTCTATACACCACCACGATGGATTTGAAATGAAACAAACAAGATGTGCTTTAACTGCAGAGTGTCAGCTTTAATTTGAGGGTATTTACATCCAAATCAGGTGAACGGTGTAGGAATTACAACAGTTTGCATATGTGCCTCCCACTTATTAAGGAACCAAAAGTAATGGGACAGAATAATAATCATAAATCAAACTTTCACTTTTTAATACTTGGTTGCAAATCCTTTGCAGTCAATTACAGCCTGAAGTCTGGAACGCACAGACATCACCAGACGCTGGGTTTCATCCCTGGTGATGCTCTGCCAGGCCTCTACTGCAACTGTCTTCAGTTCCTGCTTGTTCTTGGGGCATTTTCCCTTCAGTTTTGTCTTCAGCAAGTGAAATGCATGCTCAACCGGATTCAGGTCAGGTGATTGACTTGGCCATTGCATAACATTCCACTTCTTTCCCTTAAAAAACTCTTTGGTTTCTTTTGCAGTATGCTTTGGGTCATTGTCCATCTGCACTGTGAAGCGGCGTCCAATGAGTTCTGAAGCATTTGGCTGAATATGAGCAGATAATATTGCCCGAAACACTTCAGAATTCATCCTGCTGCTTTTGTCAGCAGTCACATCATCAATAAATACAAGAGAACCAGTTCCATTGGCAGCCATACATGCCCACGCCATGACACTACCACCACCATGCTTCACTGATGAGGTGGTATGCTTAGGATCATGATCAGTTCCTTTCCTTCTCCATACTCTTCTCTTCCATCACTCTGGTACAAGTTGATCTTGGTCTCATCTGTCCATAGGATGTTGTTCCAGAACTGTGAAGGCTGTTTTAGATGTCGTTTGGCAAACTCTAATCTGGCCTTCCTGTTTTTGAGGCTCACCAATGGTTTACATCTTGTGGTGAACCTTCTGTATTCACTCTGGTGAAGTCTTCTCTTGATTATTGACTTTGACACACATACACCTACCTCCTGGAGAGTGTTCTTGATCTGGCCAACTGTTGTGAAGGGTGTTTTCTTCACCAGGGAAAGAATTATTCGCTCATCCACCACAGTTGTTTTCCGTGGTCTTCCGGGTCTTTTGGTGTTGCTGAGCTCACCGGTGCATTCCTTCTTTTTAAGAATGTTCCAAAGAGTTGTTTTGGCCACGCCTAATGTTTTTGCTATCTCTCTGATGGGTTTGTTTTGTTTTTTCAGCCTAATGATGGCTTGCTTCACTGATAGTGGCAGCTCTTTGGATCTCATCTTGAGAGTTGACAGCAACAGATTCCAAATGCAAATAGCACACTTGAAATGAACTCTGGACCTTTTATCTGCTCATTGTAATTGGGATAATGAGGAAATAACACACACCAGGCCATGGAACAGCTGAGAAGCCAATTGTCCCATTACTTTTGGTCCCTTAATAAGTGGGAGGCACATATGCAAACTGTTGTAATTCCTACACCGTTCACCTGATTTGGATGTAAATACCCTCAAATTAAAGCTGACACTCTGCAGTTAAAGCACATCTTGTTCGTTTCATTTCAAATCCATTGTGGTGGTGTATAGAGCCAAAAATGTTAGAATTGTGTCGATGTCCCAATATTTATGGACCTGACTGTAAGTGAATAATTTAAACAATAATGGATGTTGCCTGCTCTAAGCCAGCAGAAGTTACCAGCTGCCCCTAAAAAGTGAAATGCATGTAAACAAATGAATATGTGAATAAGCGCTGTAATGATTATATAACACAAATGAAAAATAAAGCGAAATAGCAATATCAATAAACAAATAGTAGTCCTGAACAAAATATGATGAATAGTGAATATATTATGGTGACAGTCCCATAAAAGTGTAGTCCCATAGACCAAAAATATGATCTTTCACCACGTGCAGACAATAAGTGAATTTCTCACTCACCAGAAAAAATTGACCCTGTTTAATGTGGTCAAATATTGCTTTCTTGTAAGTATTGATGACCAGCAACAGGCTCTCCTGGAACAGACCTCTCGGTCTCCTAATAAGAGATATGGATCCAGGGGGTCAAAGATGACTGCCCCCAGTTGGAAGATCACAAAATTCTGGGTGCACAAATGGTGGATTGATTCACACTCCCAGACTTTCTTCAAGATAAAGATAATGCTCCAATCAGCAGTGCAGCTGGTAAGAAGCTGTTGAATGAAGCTGTCTGGGAGATCTGTACGATCCAGGGTCGGGCTCTGTCGGTCATGTATCATGTATGTTCATATTGAGATGAGATCCACACACATGTGGGGCATGCTCATGCCCCCTGCTAACCTGCACTGCAGTTGGACACAGCAGGATCTTACCAATGATTTATGGTTGAGACCTGCTGATAGTGCCATGTCCATTAACAGCACAGAGCCCTGTGTTTAAAAACACAGACCAGTGATCTTGGTGTTTCTTCTCCCCCTGCAAAGCAGGGAGAAAAAAAAAACAAACAGCCAAATCTCTTAGTAAAAGCAGCACACATCAGGCACATAGTTAACCCCTTTACTGCCTCCAAATGTTAACCCCTTCCCAGCCATTGTCATTAGTACAGTGACAAGTGTACAGTGTTAGCACTGATCACTGTGATTAGTGTCATTACTGTCAGTAAACCTTCCAGCCAGTGTCAGCTAGTTCCAGATTGCCCACCATACTATCACAGTCCCAATATAAGTCACTGATCACCGCCATTACCAGGACAGCGTCATAGCTGTATAAATTCCAGTATATATACCATAGTTTGTAGACATGATAACGTTTGCACAAACCAATTAATATACTCTTATTGGGATTTTTTTTTTTTACCAGGAGACATGTAGCAGAATACTTTGTGGCCTAAAGTTTATGAAGAAATTTTCTTTTAATTGGATACGTTTTATATGAGAATGTAGAAAATATTTTTTCTCTCCAAATTTTTGATATGTTTTTGCTTATATAATAAAAAAATAAAAAAAACATTTGTGATCAAATACCATCAAAATAAAGCCTATTTGTGTGAAAAGAATGATAAAAATGTTATTTCCATATAACCGCGCAATTGCCAGTTAAAGTAGCGCAGACAAATTGGTTTGGTTATGCTGGTGGTTAACAATGTCCTCAAAACAACAATACCATAGAACTGTAATTATATAAATGAACTTGTGAGCCACTGGAGTCAAAAATCAGTGTATTAGATCGCTGGAATTTTTTCTCACCCTCATAAGATGTAGACTACATAAAAATAATTGATAATTACCGCGCTCTAATACTACCGTGCCAATACTATATACTTAAAAATACCACTAATTAATATATACTGTGACAATATCAACTTATCAGCTGCATTACCAAAATTAATCAAATTATATTCCCACAGTGATTGGTAAAAAAATATAAATAAAGAATATGTGAATAAATCCAATAGTGATAATTTTACAATATAAATATCTCATTAAAAATAAATTCATAAAAGTCCACTGTGCAAATGTGTAAAACAAAAAATAATTATAAATATCTCATTAGAAATAAATAAATTCATAAAGTCCAATGTGCAAAACAAAAAATGAATTTTATATATATATATATATATATATATATATATATAAAACTTTTTTTGAAATATATATAAAATTTATGAAGTTTCAACAGCAAAAAAATGTGCAAAAAGGAAGATGTGCAAAAAAGTTTTTTTAAAATTCAGCAGGGAGAATGATGATAATATACTCTCCTTTCAAGCTGCTTATGATGGTGTGGTTCGAAACCTACGGATTATCTTCTTAGCCTATACAGGCATAAGGATTTCTCCCTTCTACAGCCTCTCCTCACTCCAATGCTCAATCAGCCTGGGGAGGGGGCAGTGACGTCACCACGTATCGGATCATCATTACGGCGAGTACTGACGGAGTGCGATAACACTCCTACGAGGCTGATCATTACCGCACTCTGCGGCTTAAATTGCAATACATGCGTGTTTATTGTTGAAACACTGTGAGTGCAATATGGGAGCACATTAAAGAGTGTTTTTATTTACCTTGGATAAGGCACTATATCTTTTATTCTTTTTTCCTATGGGTCATATGAGGATACATTGAGCATTGGAGTGAGGAGAGGTTCTAGGAGGGAGAAATCCTTATGCCTGTATAGGCTAAGAAGATAATCCGTAGGTTTCCAGCCACACATCATAAGCAACTTGAAAGGAGAGTATATTATCATCATCTTCTCCCTGCTGAATTTTAAAAAAAAAAAACTTTTTTGCACATCTTCCTTTTTGCACATTTTTTTGCTGTTGAAACTTCATAAATTTATATTTTCCAAATTTTTTTTTTTATATTATATATATATATATATATATATATATATATATATATATATATAATTCATTTTTTGTTTTGCACAATTTGCACATTGACTTTATTTCTAATGAGATATTTATAATTATTTTTTGTTTTACACATTTGCACAGTGGACTTTTATGAATTTATTTTTAATGAGATATTTATATTGTAAAATTATCACTATTGGATTTATTCACATATTCTTTATTTATATTTTTTACCAAACACTGTGGGAAATATAATTTGATTAATTTTGGTAATGCAGCTGATAAATTGATATTGTCACAGTATATATATTAATTAGTGGCATTTTTAAGTATGTAGTATTAGAGCGCGGTAAGTATCAATTATTACCACAGAACTGTACTTGTGTTTACTGAGACTTTCAATGTGGTACCAGAGCTATGTACCGTATTGCTGTGTAGTCCATTTATCAAAGGAAACACGTCGCCATTACTTGTTTTCTTTATACTGATTAGGTGAAAGTATACATTCTTTTCCATGCATCCCCCTCACCACGTTCTCCGCCTCATCCACCTTCTCCTGCATTTCTGCGGCTTCAGCTGTAATCTTCTCCTCGCTCGGAGCTGCCGTTCTAACTCCGCCATGTTTTCCTTCCAGATGAACTCCGGTGACATCATATGCATGCGACCCGTAAGAACACAATAGAGGAGGACGTGATGACGTTTCCGAGGAGGCTAGAAGGAGAATACGTGATGACGCTGCCGGTGAGGCGGTCAGGCTTTTCACGTCAGTGCTTGCTGAGAATACGTGATGACGCTGCCGGTGAGGCGGTCAGGCTTTTCACGTCAGTGCTTGCTGTGAGTCTAGAGTCTAGAGAGGTTTTGTTATGGGACGTCTATAGGTATTGGTAGGGGAATACGTTTTCCATCTAAAGCTACATCTCTACGTGTTAAAAAAGGGATTTCTATATTTTATATTTTCTTTGCTTAGAATACTCCCTAGGGTCCCATTACTAGAATGCACAAAAAAACTGCCTGTGTGTTTATGTGACTTACATGATGTATTGCGTTTATGTGTGTCCTGAAGTGTCACGAGATGTGCAGAGGGGTACAGCCTACAGGGCCTCATCGCAGTCAAACTTCAAAACTCCTCTTTTGTTTTTAATGAGTTGCATTATTATGATACAAGATTTATATAGCACCAATTGTTTGCACAACACTTGATTTGCATTGTGTTTGCAAGTGTTAGTGGAAGTTGCTTTCTGAAAAAAAGCAGCCTGCTCCATTATTTAAAGGACAAGTTCACCTTTGGGAACATGTGATATATTCCCCCCCCCCCCCCCCGCCCTGTTTTTAGGGTGGAACATGTAGCCATAGCTGCAGCCAAGCTCTGACAGTACAGGGATAAGTTTCCCCATACTGTCAGATTTGAAAACTGAGGCTCCGCCCTCACAGCCGACAAGTCCCGGCATCCTTAGCGGCTGTGGGCTTGTACTTTTCAATCAACTACAGCGGGCACTGTGGTAGTTCATTGATGCTTCCTGTCAGTATATCTGCTTGCTCGTACATCCCATAATGCTAAGCAGATATTCTGGCAGGTCTGCAGGAGACCTGCATGGTATCAGGGATCTACTGATCACTGGTGCAATGCTTTCCAGGCCCCTGTAGACAAAAATAATAAATGCAAATTTTTTTACCTGCAAAAAAAAAGTGCATTTATTATTTTTGTCAAAAAGGTGAACTTATCCTTTAATCGCACATCACCACAACACAATGATGTGAACTACACTTATTACACACTATTTTGTATTGTCTATGCATTTACAAACACATCCAAATGAGTCTGGTGTGAACAGGCCCTAAGCCCCGGTTCACATATATGCGGTCATGCAGGCCATTTGAATTCATTCATTTGAATGGACTCCCGTGACCCTGCACTTCTTCCGAAAATGCAGCCCGCACGGCACCTCGGTTTCCAGTACAGTTGCATTTTCCAGTGCGGGTGGCGTGCCATTAGAACTACCGGCACTTGCACGCGGGTCCATATTCCTCAGTGCGGGTGGTGCGGCTGCACGGATTTTCGTTCAGATCCGCAGCGGCACCAACTGCACAGGTGTGAACCTAGCCTGAAAGTACGTCTAATGGTTTCTGTGAGATTGTAACATTTAAAAATCATTATCATTCCAGACAAATCATAACAAGGCATTGTTGGCAATGTGAATATTATGAAGCTGATTTAGTAAAAGTGCTGAGTCCACAGTATAAATCATGTAAAAATATTCACTTCAATGATGCAATCATGTAAAAAGCGAATTTCTGTTTCCTTCATCTGCATGTGATTGAATCATTGAACTGAAAATTTACGTTATTTATTTGTGTTGGATGTTACATAGGTTGAAACAAGACACAAATCCAACCAATAGAAAATTTCCATATGCACAATCCTTTACCCATTGTTGAGCCAAAAAAATGCTTCTTGATTCCCCAGAAGGCAATTGTATGTTCCCTAGATCAACTACCACTAGTGTTATTAACTTTCAGCGGAACTAAACACATCAATTTAAAGCAGAACTTTACCCATAACAATTTGATAAAAAATAATATTCTTTAGCAAGGAGCATACATTCCACATGAAAAATTATGCTTTCAAAATTAGTGTGTGCTGTAAATTGCCTCCAGCGTTGTTCCTGTTTCTTCTTGCTGGAGGCTGCCATTTTGCTGAAGCCCAGAGCCCCTGAACAACAGGAAATCATAAAGCGGAACTAAACCCATCAGTTTAACAGTTTCAAAAACCCAGTATCATTCCTGGAATGCCGGGATTGCTAACTGTTGCATTTACTTTTGTGTCCTCAACCAAACTGTGAAACCATCACATGGCTGGAGTCAAAACTGATCACATGTGCAGCACCATTGCAGTTGCAGATCAAACAAAGCACCTTCCTTGGCTGTAAAGGATTTGAATTTCAGAACATGGCTATATTCTCTCTATTCTATTCAAATTCAAATTTCAGAAGACGACTATATTTTTTATTGTATTCCATTCTGTTCGAAATTTGAATTTCAGATTTTGAATTTCGGAAGACAGCTATATTGCTTCTGTTCTATTCTATTTTATGTTTTCTGTTCTATTCCTTTATTTTCTATTCTACTTAATTTGGTTTTATTCTATTCTTTATTACATTCTGTTCTATTCTTTTCTTTTTTTACTTTCCATTCTATTTTATAATATTCTATTCTGTTTTATTCTATTTTATATTCTACTTTTTTTCTGTTCTATTCAATTCTGTTTTATTTTAATCTATTCTTTTATATTTTCTACTATTTTCCCCTTTTTATTTTCTATTCAATTCTATACTTTTTTTTTCAGTTCTATTCTACTTTATTCTATAAAGCAGCCTAAGTAGGAATCATCATCTTATTTCACTTGTATACCTTACTAAATAACTTACATATGTATTGAAATATGTTTCCATTTGGAACTCAAATTCAGTTTCTAATTCTAATTTATTTTCCAGTGCAAATTCCTTTTTTCGAATTTTAATTGGGATACTACATTTCCTTATTTATTTTGTAATCATTGAAATTCATTACTACTGTGAGTCAGAAGTTCGGATACATGCAAATCTCTAAGTAACAAACACTTCGTCCGAAGATCCGTAACTACATAAATTGCATATGTCTAGTATTGGGCACAGTAAGAAGTGGCATACTCTATAAAGCGCTCATTGACCTCCTTAAAGTAGTAGTAAACACCACTTGGTGACTTCTACCTACAGGTAAGCATATAACAAAGCATACCTGTAGGTACAAAAAAATATCTCTTAAACGTCCACTGTTTAGGAGATAATCACTTTTTCTTTTTTTTGTTTGTTTTACCATACATTGCTTATAGGGCCGTAGCCTCCACAGCAAAAATGTCCTACATTGTGGTGGGAGACGTATATGGGAACATAGCTGATGTGTACATACCAGGATGATGGCACAAACTGGCAGGTACAGAGTCACTAGGAGGTGGGGAGTGAAACATAGACCTCAGAAGGTGAAGGACACTTTGCCTCGCCCTCAGAGCAGCAGCACCTTGCGGTCTAGCATACCGGATAGCATTTTCTATCTGTTGGAGGGAAAAAGTAGACACCTTAGGTGTCTAGGAAAGTGGAAAAAGAAATAGAGGAAAAGAGGTGGGACGGTGGAGTTAATGGTGCAAGAAGTCAGGTTCCCCTAGAGCAGTGTTTCTCAACTCCAGTCCTCATGGTCATGTTTTCTGGATGAAACAGCTGTGGTAATTACTAAGGCAGTGAAACTGATCAAATCACCTGTGCAAAATAATGGAAATCCTGAAAACATGACCTGTTGGGGGTCCATGAGGACTGGAGTTGAGAAACACTGCCCTAGAGGAATAACCTCAATTTAGCAATAAGTAAAATATTCATTCGAGAAATAGAACATGTCCCAGTATAGCCAGTGTGTGTTGTGTTCCTCCATCCAGTCCCTGAGGGCAGCAGTCAGTTGTTCCATCTGTTGAATAACGTTCACCCTGGCAAACCATTGCAAAACAATGGATAGGGATTGTTGTTTCTATATGCTGGGGATGCATGCCCTGGCTGCATTCAGAAGATTCTTCAAAAGGTACTTATAGTATCTCTTTTTTTTTTTGCATGATACAGTGGGGCAAAAAAGTATTTAGTCAGCCACCAATTGTGCAAGTTCTCCCACTTAAAAAGATGAGAGAGGCCTGTAATTGGCATCATAGGTAGACCTCAACTATGAGAGACAAAATGAGAAAAAAAATCCAGACAATCACATTGGCTGATTTGGAAAGAATTTATTTGCAAATTATGGTGGAAAATAAGTATTTGGTCACCTACAAACAAGCAAGATTTGTGGCTCTCACAGACCTGTACCTTCTTCTTTAAGAGGCTCCTCTGTCCTGCACTCATTACCTGTATCAATGGCACCTGTTTGAACTTGTTATCAGTATAAAAGACATCTGTCCACAACCTCAAACAGTCACACTCCAAAATCCACTATGGTGAAGACCAAAGAGCTGTCGAAGGACCCCAGAAACAAAATTGTAGACCTGCACCAGGCTGGGAAGACTGAATCTGCAATAGGCAAGCAGCTTGGTGTGAACACATCAACTGTGGGAGCAATAATTAGAAAATGGAAGACATACAAGACCACTGATAATCTCCCTCGATCTGGGGCTCTACGCAAGATCTCACCCTGTGGGGTCAAAATGATCACAAGAACGGTGAGCAAAAATCCCAGGACCACACGGGGGGACCTAGTGAATGACATGCAGAGAGATGGAACCAACGTAACAAAGGCTACCATCAGTAACACACTACGCCGCAAGGGACTCAGATCCTGCAGTGCCAGACGTGTCCCCCTGCTTAAGCCAGTACATGTCCGGGCCCGTCTGAAGTTTGCTAGAGAGCATTTGGATGATCCAGAAGAGGATTGGGAGAATGTCATATGGTCAGATGAAACCAAAATAGAACTGTTTGGTAGAAACACAACTCGTCGTGTTTGGAGGAGAGAGAATGCGGAGTTGCATCTAAAGAACACCATACCTACTGTGAAGCATGGGGGTGGCAACATCATGCTTTGGGGCTGTTTCTCTGCAAAGGGACCAGGGCGACTGA